CCCCCGCCGCCCCCGCCCCCCCTGGCCCCACCCCTCATCATGGAGAACCTGAGGAACTCGCTGTCGCCGGCTACCCAGCGGAAGATGGGCGACAGAGCCCTTCCCGCCCAGGAGAAGAACTCCCGGGACCAGCTGCTGGCTGCCATCCGCTCCAGCAACCTCAAGCAGCTCAAGAAGTTAAGTAGCTGCAGCGGGGCTGGCCCCAGGCTGGCCACCCCTGCAGCTCCCCAGGGGAGACTGTCCCTCCTCCCGGAGAAGCTTCCTTTAGCCCCTCACCCTGCAGCCTCAGGCCTTCCTCTGAGTCCTCCCTCCCCTTCCCAGAACATGGTCTGTTTGCCTGACTCTCAGAACCAGCCAAGTCCTCAGGTCAGTCTACCCCGAAGGTCTGTAGGAGATTCAGCCTCAGGAGACCCTGCTTGTCGAGGCTCCCTGGGGGCAGATCCCCAGTCCCCACCGGTCACACCAGAGATAAAGCACCCTCTGACTGTGACTCCAGGGTCATTTGCTATCATCCAGTTTTTACAGAAAAGGGAGAATGCAGGCTCCGCCCAAACCCCACGTCTCTGTTCTGCAGGCGCACGCACTCTGAGTGTCTGGTCTCCGGAAGGAAGGGAGGTGAGGGATTCCAGGGCCCACATCCGGGACCCCCTCCTCTAAACCGCCTCTGCTTTGCTCTTGCAGGTGGAGGTGCCCAAGCTGCTGCAGTAGGACCGCCACAGGCTGCCAACGCCACGCCACCCAGACCCTGCCCACCCGCCCGGCTGACCTGCTCTGCACGCCCCTCTCTGCCAGGGGGCAGCTAGAGGCCTGGCCAGCTCCGGGAAGGACGCCTTCTCTCTCCTCACTTTCCTGTTCTTGTCTCTGAGGCTCTCCAAAAATACCGTTTATAGCCAGAGCTGAGCTTTCAGGACAAGAAGAGTCCCTTCAGACCGAGAAGATGGCACACCTGGGGCCCATGTGGCTGGCCAGCTGCCAAAGGCCTATGATCCAGGAAAGATGTCCCACAGGGACCACAGGACCCGCCCGGCCCCACTGCCCACCCAGGGTCAGGATTCAGGCCTCTGAGGAGCCCTTGGGGCAAAGCTGCTCGGCCAGTCCTCTCTGTGCCGGGCAAGGGCAGAAGGCTGGGGGTCCAAGGGCACAAGGCGGGAGGGGCTGAGGATACCCCCAGACCCCTCCCAGCTAACGAGAGGACATGACACAGGTAGTGGGCCTGGATGGACGTGCCTGGTGGGGAGCGGGCTCCAGACGGGAGGAGGGGACAGACTGCAGCTGGACCTGAAGGTTTGATGCCAAAGCAGACACTTCCTCACACCCACCTGCTGTTGTATAAATAGCTGTGTCTCTGTTTTTCCATAAGATTTTGATAATATATACAAGCCTTTAGCTGTGACGGCTGGGCTCACCTTGTGCTGTCTGGAGGGTCCCCTGCCACGCTACCCCAATGGGCCGGGACACAAGCTCCCGTCCACAGAAAGCATGGCGGTGGGGACTCAGAGGGGGATGCTCCCCTGCCCTGGCTGGCCAGGCCCAGGAGAGCTGGCCTCAGCCGGGGTCCACTTCAGACCAGCCGGGCTGCCTGGGGTCACTGGGCAGAGGTGCTGTCGGTGGGTGGTAGCGGAGTGCAGCTGGGGTGGCTATATTAGGCATGTTCAGGGGACGCTCAGTCCGTGACTCTTCCTAACTTCAGGATTGGGGCCAGCTGCTCGCCGCAGTCCCAGGCCTGGGAAGGCAAAGAACTGACGTGACCACTGGGGGGAGGCCCTGTCGTCCCTGCTGCCCGGATCTCCTCTTCTGCCCCCACGCCCTCCATGGCAGGGACATCAGAGGCAACTTTCTGGTCCCACTGGCTCCGAGATGGTGCACCCCTGTGGCTCTGGGTCTCGTGTGCGGGCGGGCACGGCAGGTTCCGGTTTCAGGGTGCAAGTGTAGGGCCCCTGCTAGGAAGCAGCCCCCCGAGCTAGGTCTGGCCGAAAACAGGGCAGGCTAGTGTCCCAGGGCGTGCGGCTGCCCCCTGCCTCCACCCTCGTGCCCGTCCCCAGGAACCTAACCAAGGCCGCCCGAGCGGGCGCGCGGCTGCGCACTGCCTCT